TTCCGTCTGCGGACAGCGCGCGCCGATGCAGCCATCGACGCGGAGGAGAAAGAAATTTGCATCGGGTTTAATGATGAGAGCATGCGCGCGCGGAAGAAACTCAGCCGAGGCAATTACAGTGTGAAAGCCTCCATGTTGGTTTACTCCAACAACACTCTCATTCCTGGAACCATCCCGGAGAAACAATACCCACACCATGGTGGGTGGAACTCCAGTGACTTGATGGCCTTGGTGAAGGCCATCCCGCCAGCAGATTTGTGGTACGCTGCCAGGCGCGAACTTGGTGTTTTCGCAAGCTGTTGCATCGAACCCTGATTGTGTCACTATAATAACAACGTTTGACTTGTTTGAAGCACTTTTCTTTTATATATCTCACGCCAATGCTTCATGTCTGCCTTGCCTGTTTCACAGGACTGACAAGGAAGAAATCATCGGAGCTGATCGTACTGTGAAGCCGACTGACAGCTTTGTGGCGAAAGCCGGGCCGGCAGATCCTGATGCGGCTGAGTCCATTTTTTCTGCCCAGTGCTTGCCGTGTGAGTTCTATTCCGATATTGTCAAGGCTTTCTCAGGCAAGGCAGTTTTGGACCTCAGCATCGGGCAAGGACAGGCAGCGCTCAGCTGCCTGCAGAATCGCATTTGCTACGTCGGCTTTGGGCTGACAGAGAAGCATTGCGAAGCCTTGGAAAAGCGACTGACGCAGAAAGTCCTGGAGGAGATGAAGCAGGAAAGCAGTACATTCTACCGCCCTGAACTGGTGACCACCAATGAAGGCCAGACTGGCACTGACACTGGTAAGGGGCCCAAGAGGCCAGGCGGCAATGATGGAAAGCCAGAACCCAAGAAGCCTAAGGGTGGCCCTAAGCCTAAGCCACAGAATCAGAAGCCAGAGAAGCCAGAGAAGGACAGTAATAAGGGCGAAGAGGCAAAGGAAGACGACGATGACCGTCGCTCGGATTCCTTGCCCTGGTAAGTCCGCTGCCCCGTGCATCTGGAAAGGGATCTCATTGCCCTGGTAAGTCTGCAGCCCCCTGCAGCTGGGAAAGGGATCTCGTTGCCGTGGCAAGGCTGCAGCCCGCTGCAGCGGGAAATGGGTTGAAAGGCTGTGCTGTCCATTGACACAGGTCGTCATTGGGAGCCGTTGCCTTGGGACTGCCCGTGCAGAATCTCAAGAAGTTTTGTCTTTTAGCTAGTCATGAAGCCGAATGGGTGGCGATGTTGGCCAGATATGCAGATGTAAATTTTCAGTCTTTTGGCCACCTGTTCTGCTGAAAACACCGTCATTGTGTTCAGACTTCGGCCTACGACAAAGCATCGCAAAAAAAAACGCCTGCCAAAAATGTGAACATGTAACAAGGCAGGCGCCTGGTAGTTCTTAAATTATATGTCATGTTTTTCAATTTGGTCCCAAACTTGAGATCAAATGCTATCTGATTGCAGCCATCTTCTGTTCTACCAGTGAGTCTGAGAGGCGTCGACTTTAAATATGAACCGGGAAAACAATCGCCTGAAGGACATCCTAACTTTGAATGAGTTGAGCTGCTACGCCCTGCAAGCTGTTGTTGTGTGGGACGATGTCACTGACAGACTTGAAGAGTTGCCTGAACGACTGCGGTCGCTTTTGAGCGTTTCAGGCGCAGAGGTGGAACAAGCTACAGCAGTCTTGCGGAAAGTGCTGGATCAGGCGAAAGACGCTGAGACTGATCTTGCCACCTGCCTGACACTGCCAGATAAGGATGACAAGCCCAACTCGCAGGGTCAGGCAATGAGCTGTGATGCTGAAGAGGGCAAGTGACAGAAGCTGCTCGACTCCTCAGAGACGCTTTAGAATTTTTGTGGAAAAAGGCTGCGAGCGACTGTGAATGATTTGACAGATCGCCACCCACCAGCACCATCCTACAATAATAGTAGAACCGGATAAATACAATCTGATTCCGGGTGAAACAACATTTTGTCGACGGTCATGAATCAAATTGACCTCGCCAATCAGGTCAGCCCCACAAGCAACAATAGGGACTAAAAACAACGACCCCAGGCAAACAAACAACAAACCACAACCTCGAAATCTGAAGATTGAAGCAGTTTGCCTCAAACAAACACCAAAAAAAGCAACCAGGCAACCACAGAACAACGCCAAGCAAGACACCTACAAGACGATTTTGGCTTGTCCGCTCACGGATCACTTCGTTTCTGGGACAAGGGCCTTCGATGGACCATGTTCATCGAAGAGTCTGACAAGTGGATCAAGGGGTCATTTGACATTGTCATGGAGAGCTACGTGCATGATGACCATGGTTTGAAGTTGTCAAGCTTCTGAACGTCTTCGTAAGAAGATCAAGGTTGGTGGCAGTTCCCTTCCGTGTGCCTTCAGGGTTGGGCTGGAAGCAACGTGGAGTTCTGGAAGCCCTCAATGTCAAGGTGGAGTTCGCTTTCAAGACCTACGGACCTACAGCAACACAGCGCTTTTTGTCCATCTCCTGTCAAGTACCACCCGGCTTGGGAAGTGGGCCGGCCTTCATCAGGCTGCAAGCCTACGCTGTCAAGTTCTTCTACATGGCTCACTGCCTGGCCATGCGAAGCCCTCGGGCTTCGACACCATCTTCTCCTGCACCGCCTTCGCTCAACGCCCAACGCTAGCTAGCGGGCCCTAATTTCTCATTGCGGACCGTCTGGAGCGGGACCGGATCTCCCTTCCCGCAGCTCTGAGAAGCGCGAAGTGACGCCACGTCGCGGCTTCACTGCTGGCGCCGCTGTGGAAGTCGACCGACCGACCTGGCCGCTGAAACAAGCGCACCGCTCGTGACCTCTCGTCACGGCGTGGGCTGCGATGGAAACGCAGCAAATGCTCTCAACAGCGAGCAGCTCTGGGGTGCATTTGGCTACAGTCGTTTCAGGGTAGATGGCACAGACCTCAAGATGTCCTTTACATAGAGGTTCACATACTTGAACCACCTCTTGGGGTCTGTGTCCTGTTCTCTCAATCCACTATAGCTGGATTGTGGGGGTTGGGGCCGGCGGGGTTGTCCAGACGTTTCTGCGGCCCCGGGGTCACCAGCTCCACCGAGCTCGCAGGCGCCAATGGGAAACCCTGTTCGCCGCGAGGGAGGGAGACGCGAGGGCCTGCAGCTTGAGGAGCTGAAGTGGCTGGCAGGCCAACGGCCAACGATCCTTTTGCTCCCCCCAGGTGATGGTTTTTGCTTCGCAGACCACCCACAGTCAGTCCTGGTAGGTGCAAGCTGTTTGCCTTGTACCTGAGCCGACTCTCCGAGCCGTGTCAGGCGCAGCTAGGCTATGCTGCTGAGACTTCTTGTTGATCGCTTCGCTGCCTCGCTGCGAAGTTAATCAGAGGTCACCCTGACGTAACGATTAAATATGTCCAACTATCCTCCACACTTGTTTGCTTATAACATGAACATGTGTTTCCTTTCCTTATAGAATGGCCTATCTCATGTCACTCTATGAACACAAAATGTGCTCCCTATCTGGAGTGCATAAATCAAGGTCTTTGCAAGAAGAGATAGGTCATTCTACAAATAAGACCGGGTCTTCAAAGGCGGGAAGCCAGGGCTTCCTTGGATCAGGGTCGAACGGATTTTGTAACAAATAAGTGCTTGACCTTTACATATCTTTAGATATTTTTATTTAGATATAGTTTTCATGCATAACAAACAAACTCATCTTACACATAGATATACATAGATACACTGTCCTTGGAATGTGCCTTACCGCAATGTCCTTCCAGATCAGATTTTCTGAAATCACTGGCAGCAAAGATAACAATGTGGATTAACACAATATAAATATATATATATTAATATAAACAAACCGTGTTCCATGCTATAAGCAAAACATATTGATACATCACACCTATTCGTTTTACAGCCACGATGCAATACAAATCATTTGTAGAATGAAACATGTCACCCTAAAGGCACAATTCAATAGCCTTGTAAATATGGGCAATCCAGCATGCAAATCATGCATTCAAAATTGTTATTTGACGGCATTCTGAGATCAATACCAGGCAGGATGCCCCACCCCTGATCATTCTTTTAAAATCAATCTTGGGGTTGTCTCTACTATTTATTTGAGGAGTGAGTGCAGATGTACGGAACCCTTCAATTGATTTGTTGCTCACATTGACAGATCGCAAGACTTTTTCTGTGTAAATACCTACCTTTTAAGCTGGTAAGGTATGGTGACATAGGAAGGATAGCAGCAGCCAAGAAAAGCAAAGGCAGGAAGTTTGGGACGGAAACTAGTATCAGACAGCTTTGGACACCACGAACTTTATGGAGCATGATGAGAATGGTGGTACCTCTGAAATGAATGATTTGAGAGATGGGGATCCCCTCAAGCTGACAAGCCCAGATGAAAAAGGCAAACACCAAGAATAACACTAGTCACTAGTGCTTGCAAATCAATTTGGAGGGGAGACAGCTAAAGAGAGGTTGGTTTTGAATGGAAGGAAGCTGGTAGGCTCATGGAGAAGGAAAGGCCAAGTGGAACATTTTTAAACATACAAAACGCATCATTGGATCATGGACATTCATTTGCAGGCAGTGCGAGGGCTTTGGGAGCGGTCGCTCTCCGACAGAACTTTGCCTCCAACCAATCAACATGTTCATTAAACATACGCAGACGCTCCATGTATGCCATATATGCCTACATGGAGTGTCTGGGATATATATATATATACATATACATATATTTATACCCCTGGTGGTCACCCTCAATGAATTTAAAAATGAGATCGAGCAGCATTAATTTGACCATTAGTATGGGGTCAATTAGTATTCTAGCAAGGGGTGGTCAGGTGATTGATTCGTTTAACACTTTTTTTTCATGCCGTGGGAGACCCCCTCCCCCATATAGTGGAGGGAATATCCTTTTTTGAGACTCCTGTGACCTCATTGACTGTTTCGGGATTGGTCACCAAAATCATTGGCTCATGGCCTCCCCCCACCCGCTGTGCCTGCCACGTCTACGGTCCGCGTCAGGCACAGCTACTGCAACCTGAACCAGACCGCCTTTGAGGAAGCCTGGTGCCACTACGCAGCGCAGGTTGAGGCCGAATTCGAGGGCTTCGCCGTGTGCTTCGCCACCTGGTTGCGGTCAAGACGGGTGGGGTCCCAAGAAAGGAGTGCCCGTGCGTTCAAGACTGTGACTGTAGCGCGTGGTGTGTCCGAATAGTTCTGTTGAGCGGTGCAGCACTCTTCCGACAGACCTCCTGTGGACACAACTCGAGAAGACACCCACACCAGAGGGTGTGACACGTTGAACCTTGCGGCCGTGAACGGGAGGTGGTCCGTACACTCCGGTGTTCCAGACAGGTGGATCCTTGGGCCAACATGGGCCGACGATTGGACCGGCTCAAGCCGAACGGCTGGTAGTGTGGGGTAGTCCAGCCAGGACATCCCGACAGGAGGGTCCTGGTATGTTTCTTGTGACATTTGATGCAATTGATGTTCCATGTCAAAGCTTCGACGTTTCTCCATGGCAGACCGGACCCTTTGATGGCTGAAACCCAGTGGGCGGGACCGCGTGTCAGCGTTTTTGGCCTCCAACAACGTGAATAGTAAAGCCTTACACTCTCCCAACCCCTTGTATATACAGTGGGGCAATATATAGTGGTGCAACATGTTGTTTTTCTAGACTTCTAGGGTATATCTAATGGACCTTGTTCCTATTTTAAACCCCCAGTTTGTGCATTGAAAAGGAAGGCCCCATGTGGCTCAGGACCATCGGCGCACAAATTACCTGCAGTATGAGACTGAGCAAAAGGCACAGCTGGTGATACGGCAGCAGGAATGGCGGGCGCTGGTCCGTGACTAGGCTGTGCAACCGTTGTTTCACGGTGTTTGGAGAACCTGAAACAGGCAGGGACGCCCTTCAGAAACTTCCATTCCGGAACATCCAGGCACACCCATGGTCTTTCGTGCCTCAGTGCTGCGCCAAGTGCTGCGTGCTACGCGAAGGGACCTGCGGGGAACTGCGGATACCTCGTGCGTTCTTCGAGTCTGAGGCATCCGGTGTTTTACTCGTGCCTTCGAGCATGCCTTCCAGAAGAGTGGCCGTTTTGAAGAGATGCCACGCGACGCAGCACGCCTTCGGTGGGGGGCGGGAGGGTCGAGACTGCCTCGCAGACCGCTTGGGCTGCGCCCACCGTTCCATGAAACACCGGCTTTAGGTCTGGGGATTCTCATCTTGACTCGACCAGGTATTGGTTTTGTTCGGGAGAATTAGGCCAGGCGGTGATTTTATATGTTCTCGAATTGTTGGCAAGTTTTAGTGCTGTTCTGTTGGGGCATCTTCAGGGGCTTAGACATCCAGTATCACTCTGGCACTACCTCAGTCACTAGGCGTAGTCCCACATGTCCGGGCCCAAAGGAATCGGTTTGGGTTGGCCATCCAGGCTTTCTTTTTGACGGTTTTCCGCGCAGCGCTGGTGTTTACCAGCATTATATATTCGTTTGCACCCCTAGCGATCCACATACAGGCCTTGTACCTTCTGTGCTTAGAGATTGGAAGGGCGGTGTTCCAGAAGGGGTAGTCCATATAGTAGTTATATAAATTTGTTGGCCGAATCGTGCAAAGGTTTCTCGCCCTACCCTTGGGTTCGATTTGCCAAGTTGCTGATTTTTACAGTGGGAGAAGCCTAGGGAAGTCCAAAAGTACTTGCATGAATATCCATGCCACTCCTGATCCAGAATAAGCATCTGTGCAGCTTCCGAATACACTGCCCTCAACGTCTTCGCAGCGTTTTCTGCGCCACACTCGCTGCGTGTTCCTCCATCATTTTTTAAAAGATTAATGGTCTTCTCTGGTTCTGGGCAGGGCTGGTCCATTCCTAACTTGGGTGTCCATGAATCATGAACCACCCCTCCAAACACCACCCTCGGGTACAACAGGGGCAAAAAAAGATGCAAACAAAGTTATCGGATCACGTATTTCTCATCATGAAGTTAATGAATAATTAAAGTATCGAACGTTGACCCCATCAACCACCCCAACTAGTTGGGACATATGCAATTTGCATCAAACTGCCCAAAGGAGTGACTGGGTACATCCCGCTAATTGGAGGAGGATTTCCAGGTTGATCAGTGCCTTCCTCACCTGAACAGGTGTTTTGCTCCTGGCTCCAATCAGGCATAGCTCATGTATATATACAACTTATACTACAACTTATATAACTACGATATTTGTATATATGTCAAACATATATATATATATATGTATATTATACATTGGTTTTGTCCTATTACCATTAACAGTCAGTAAACAAATATCACTATTGTTGAACAAGGCCTGCAACTGAACCGTCATCACCCACTATCATCCACTGTTACAGGTTACAGGTAATTATTAGGATAGGCCCAATATAAACATATGACCCAAATATAGCACAGAGCAGTCTCATCACCCCACGTCACTTTGTTCAGGTCGAAACATCCCGGTGAAGTTGAACACTGCCATTGGCCACTACCGCAAATACCAGCCGCGGTGTCACCGCTCCTAGGCAGATGACACCGCTGGGCAGACGACTGTTGCGGCTGTTTGGACTGTTTGGTGCAGCGTTAGAACCAGAGCACAATGGGGTGGTCTTCCAAGATGGCGCCATTGGGGGCAAGGTCCACTTGTAAACCCATGGTGCTGGTTTGCCAAGATCCACTTCACGCTGCGTTTCATCCAGGAGTGGTTTCCGCGGGCTCAAGCGTGGTGTCGATGGCCCACCTGCACGGTTTGCACAGTGGACACTGTAGCCCTTGTCCAAATGATTGCCAAGTGCACGGAATGCCGCGCAGGAACTGGAATGCTGTACTATGAATATTGGCATATGCTCGTCTACCCTGTTCTGGGCATCCGAATGTACTAAGAATTCAGAGTTGTGAAACACGTTCCCTTGGTTCCAGGCCCTGTCACCAGCCATTCTTGGATCAAGTTCACTGGCTGGCGGGAGTGCGTGTGAGCAGGAGCATGCGCAGTCCCACTTGGATTGCTTGTCAATAAGGAACCTCATAAACAAGAAATGCAAAAAGAAACATTCTGACCTCCACAAACTTCAGCTCTTCTGACCTCCACAAACTTAAACTCTTCAGGGGTTGGGAATATGTTCTGTTTTGTTTCAATGATATTCCATCCCTATATTGAGTTAAAGGTGCCCAAGAAGTTGGATGGACTGTGCCCAAGAATTCCTGCCACTTGTGTCGGCCCAGGATACTTATGGGCTCCTGGCAGCGAGCCCCTTGGAGTGGCGATCGACGTATAGATGACCAGCCCCGAACTTGAGGCGTCTTTGAGTCGCCTCTTAGAGGTTTGGGGATCAGCCTCGTCTGAGATCCACCTGTAGGCCTTGATCAGCGACTTGAGGTTCTACATATTAGTTGGAGGTTTGGGTGTCCAAGAACCAAACTTGGGTTCGGTCCTGTTTTTGTTGACTCTGTAGGTGGTGCTTTTCTCAAGACTAGGTGGTGGTGCATGATTTCAACGATGTGTTTATCAAGAAATGTCTATTTCTGGCCGGGCATGCTATTTCTTTTGTGGCGGCATTGGAATGTTTTGGCACTCCCAGAAAGTTTGCAGGTTTCAGCCAACGAAGAAAGGCAAGGGTTCAAATCCGATATTTTTCGATTCAACTATGAGGAAATCATGTTGATGGAAGATGAGTGAAGATGTTGGAAGCATGTTTTGGAGGAAAGCAGTTTTTTTCCAAACATATTTTGAGACCCAAGGAGCTTGAGGTTTTGGACTCCTGTTTCGACCCAAGAATGGGTGAGATGGATGTCTAGACCGCCTTCGTTCCGCCCGTTCCGCGCGGTTGCAACCGGTACATGTCGCCCACTGGGGGACGCAGAGTAAGACGACGCCTTTCTCCTCTACCAACAGGGCAGGGGGTTGAAGGACACACTTCCATGGTTTGCACTCTGACGTGCAAGCAGCTGAGATAGTCCAAAAGCGTGGGTCCTTCGTTCTGCACACTTAGGCGATTCAATGAACATTGGCGCCTTGGATGAAGCAGCTGCGACACGATGTGACCATGTCATTCGGGGTGTGACAAATACTCGAGTCGGGCACTTGCAGTGGTTTTTTCCCATGCACTCCCTGGGACTGCGGACTGCCGCCCCAGACTTGACCCCCTGGCACCCACCACCCCGAACGCCCATTTTAAAAGGCAGTCCGACACGGCAGGTCCCATGGGTCGCGTTCGGGCTTCATATAAGTGCATGTGTGGCTTAGGCTTACGACCAGGTCCTTCATTTGTGAGCACCCACGGAACCAAGTCCTTTTTCGCAGCCTCACAGCAACACTTTCATGCTCCTCCTTGTGGGCTTCCCAGGTGTTGATGCTGGGGTGCCTATAGGTGTCAGACTTGAGAAACACGTACATCCACATCCTCAACTTTGCTCACATCCCAGACATGACCTACGGGACGAAACACATCTGAAAAACACCTGTGTTTGCAACCTCGCCCCGTCGACAGAGACCACCAAGTCCCATCCGGTCGCTTCTGGACGGACGGTGGTTCTTCGGTGGTCCTCGTCGCTCATGTCGCGTTTCGCTGCGATGCGATGCTCCGATGGTGCAGGTACTTCAGCAAATACCTACAGCACATTTTCCCCGTGAAGTTGATGCCCTCCTCCTTGAGGATTGGACATGTCCGGCCTCTGTCCGGGGGGCTTGACCGAAAATGTCTCACAGAGATGATGTGATGAAAATTTGCTGTGGATGAGTTCTTTCATGTGGCGTTTGTCCTTTTTTTGAACCAGTCCGTTGGATGAGGCGTGTTGATGGTCCGTGGCGAGCCAAATCGATTCAATCTGTTTGGCGGTTTTTGGGCGGTAGACAGTTGAAGAGCCCCCCTGTGTTCAATACCCAGACACGACTGGTGGGACTGGCATATTTCATACATTGGGGTGGTTTGGGGGGGTCAATGTAGGCATATATTCCATACATGGAGTGTCCGGGATATATAAAACCTCCCCGTTAGACTGTGTGGTTAGTAGCCTGACCAAGGGAGTGGTCATGAAGACTGTGGATGAATAACCAGCTTCTTCCTCTGGACTTGTTTTACGTGGAACCTATGATACTATGGGGGGGTCATGAACAGTCTCATTATTGCAAAGTCACAAGTGGATGAAGCCTCGATGAGGGTCCAGGAAAATGACCCATTTGACCTCCATGGTAGTGCTATGACTGCATGTCGGTGAGGTACATTATGAGTCCTTGGCGTGAACCTGGAGACAAATCTCTAGTCGATGAGTAGGTGGAGGGTAGTCACTATAGTCCATTGGTGCACCCAGTCCAGTGAACTCTATTTCTATGCCGGCCTTCATGTCCGCAAAACATCAGATCCCTTCACACAGGATCCGGGTCAGATTGGGTTCCAGCTACCCGATGACACCTTTGCATCACGGCAGCCCAGCACACAAATACAAAACCTTAAGAAACCCAGACACTCCATGTTTGGCATACACCTGGATCTTCAAACGGCACACATTTTTGCCGGAGGCACGTGAAAAGACGCCGTGGGCCGCAATCAAAGCAACCATGTACTCAAAACCCATGGACTGGAGTCAAGACACCGTTTCAGACGTCGGTGACACGACGCCGGTGTCCACGTTCTTTGGGGTGTCGCACTTTCGCGACCACACAAATGGCTGGCATCCGCCTTGGCACCACCGAAAAGGACATCAAAAAGCAGGTGTTCTTTGGAACAAAAGCACGGGGAGGTTGGCAGTCCTTCTGGAAGTCGAACACACATGGTGTTTGGCCGTTTCGAAGATCCAGGTATGCCTACATCGATCCCTTTTCAACCTCACCTGATCGGTCTATGTGCCAGTCGCTTTCGCTCGGGTCACGTGTCAGGACGGCCGGCTGTGTGTCAGCCTTGCCGACGAGCCATTGCCCCGTGGTCGGTTCGCAGCATCGCTTGCTGCTGGCGCAAGCGCAAGCGTCGCGGTCGACCGCGAAGCCGAAAGGCCTTCTGAAGCGCAGGTCCCGGGTGCACCGCCATGTCCATCCAAGGCTCCAGTAGAGGTGGGGGCGTGAAGATTGGGAGCTATACTGTACACTTGAACCTGAGAAGCCAAATGAAGTCAATGGTTGACGTCTTCCCTCCTTATCTTCACCATGGCCGCCAGTTGTTCAGGCTTTTGGGTGGGTAGGGCGTTTTGAACAAAAAAAAACGTAGCCTGGTGGGTGGGTGGCCCCAGAAAGACTCCTCAACTAAACTAACCTAATGCAATATAGGGAAAGATGATGGTCTCAGACAGGTCGTAACCCCAGCTTTGCTTCCACCTCACTTGGAGCTTTGATTCCACCGGGCAAGAGGTCCTGGCCATAGGCAAGCATCGGCCATGCGTCTCGCGCGAAAGTCAAGCTCGGCCATGCAGAGCAAAGATCTTGCAGATCGGGTGATGGGTGATTTGCCCGGACTGGGTTCATCCCCTTCTGGGGGATAGTTGATGGTTAAAAATGCTTCCTGAAGCAAATCCAAGAGAGGCTGCAGGGAAACTATGGTATAAGTATGGCACGGACCAAGATCAAGGGTTTTTTTGGCTTTCTATCCTACAGAGCCAGGCGTCGTTTTACTGGACACGAGATTGGATAGAAATCTTATTGCGGGAAACCTTCAAAGTTTATGAACGTAAGGCCGGAAAGGCGGAAAGGCGCACATGACAATGATCACTAAATTAAACTCTCTATGCTTGATGGGGGACACCGTATCAAAAAGTAGGGGTGAATAAGGCATTGTCTACAAAACCCAGTTATTGACTTGAGAAGCCAGGTGTTTGATGGTTTTCGTGAGGATCCCCAGGTAGAACAAATAGATTGGCATCCGGAACTTGGAACAGTGATGGACTTCCATCTCAAGTGAAGCCAACTGGAGGATACATACTCCAAGTCACCAGGCACCAATCTATTGTCGCCCCTCAACTTGGCTTTCACTGGATAAAACCTCAGCTTTTCAGTTATACAGCTGAATATTGAATACCTCAAACCCAAGTGAGATGTGGAGTCTCAGCCTCTTCCAAAAAACAGACCTGGCCTTCTACTCCGCGGCCGTCAGACCTGGAGTCCTCAAGCCTGATCGCCCTCCGACGTCGACCACGGCCAGATGATGCTGACGGTCTCTGGGAAGGAGGAGGCACGGCGAAGCCTCACGTTACCAGGCAGGGCCAACGGCTTGGAGCAAGCGCGGTGAGAGGTGGAGCGGAGCAAACGCGCTGGAATTGGCGACTAGCACACCCCGTGGAACTGGAAGATATATGTAATCCTATATAACATATGTTTGATATGAACGTTTATATAGTAATGCATGTGCAATCGAATCATATATATACCGGGTACCTACTACACGCTGGGAGTAGCAGTCCTGGGAACAGCAGTTCTTCACCTTTCGAGAACCTCTGATTTGAGAATCAGCAGACTGACTGGGCAGACTATACTATGTATGTAACAGACCTCAAGACTCGATAAGACTCGTAGATGGCACAAACCTCAAGATGTGCTGTAGATGGGTCCATCTAAGCCAGCTCTTGGGTTAGACCCCACCAGCTCGTGGATGTTACAGCCTCTATAGTAGATCACATTTGCCAAAACGGCAAAACTGCCAAGTTCGGGGTCCCCCCTAGTTCGGGGAGAAGCGAGGCGGCCCTTTTGAGATGGTTTGGGGGCCCCTTTTTGGCGCCCCTCACACTTCCTGAAGCAGTAACTTGGTAGCAGATGAAGCACTGAACATTGGCACTGCCAAACTCGTTCCTACTCATTCTGCTTTGTTTGCGTTCTTGTTCCCCGTTCTTCGATGCCGTTTGCTTTTGGAGTGAACTGGGCTAGGTGTGATGTGGTCATGGTTGAAAACTGATTTGCAACTTGCTCCTGCAAGAACCACCTGCTCAAGAGTACGAGAAACACGGGTTTGTGCGGTGTGTGGGCCAAGCCTGTTTGCAGTGGTCACATAGCAGAGGCCAACCATGAAAACGCCATCCAAGACCAGTTGGCAGTTGGGTCCCAACATCGGGCAGACCAGTTGGGTCCCCATGAAAGCGGAGTCGTTCAGAGCTACAGGGAGTTCCCCAACCCCTTGCTAAATGTACAATTTAACGGGTTTGATACTTGTATGGTTTGATGCATTTGTTCAAAAGCAATCAAATTTGATTTAAATAATCATTGCATTTGTTTGAACAAATAAATTTAAACAATTAAACAGGTTTGATTTGCAAGAATTTATAAACCTGTTTCACCTGACTGAACAGGAGCTTGAAAAGTCTTGCTCCTGAAGGGGGGAACACCATGGGGCAAAGACCACCCCCAAGCCGGGCCAACACCATGGGGCCGCCCGGTCCGAACTTCCCACGGCCAGGAAACTTGAAGAGACCCGACTCTGCCAGGCGACGTATCCGCGACACCGTCGGTGGATCGATGACGTCTCCGCGTGACGGTCGTGACGAGAGACGCGCCGAGGTCACAGGGGTGCGTGGAAGCACCGACCCTAGGGTCTTGAAATGGGGGTGTGGCATGCGAGTCCCATGGAGTGGGTGCCAGGGAGTGTTTGGGCTCTTGAATCAGAAGCCAGCCTCGTTTTGGGATTGTTCTCCTCAGGTTCTGAAGGGTAGATCATCGAGAGTGTGGCGCAACCGATTCAGGAGGACGTTTTCCCTGACTTCGGACTTGGGGGTGGCTCTTTTCGGGGACTCACCCTAGGGCTCCAACTAGCTCCGTTTCGAAGATGGTTATGGTGGGTGCCAGGGGGGTCTAACCACTTTCTGAGGATATGGGCCAGGAGCCCTAGGGTCAAATCATCTCAAATCCACTCACTTTGGTTGTGGTGACTCTTGATCTTCAGAGTCTGTATGAGTCTGTACAGTGGTTTCAGAGTGGCGCATGGTTTGTTCAAAGGTCCGTGCGTTCGGTCGCTTTGTCGAAGCACCCGAAGGACCGCGTATCACCCCATTCGGCATCCTCCGGACATCGAACCAGACTGGGTTGGTGCCGAACCTCTGAGAAACCTCACTGTAGCTGTAGTTTCTCAAAGACCATTAAAACATAACGAACGACCTGGTTTTTGTATTGTAAAATCCTTAGTTGATTGGGTAAAGCCTATTAAATTAATGGTTGTTGGAAGCCTAGGGCTGTAGCTGTAGTTTCTCAATTTGACTGCAAGGATGGTGTAACATCCAGCAGTCACGAAGGCTAGGTAAGGGCTGCGGACTCGGAGGGTGCCTTTTTGGTGTGCGCCTGTCACATCCACTTATGACCCCCGGGACGTGACTCCCCCGTGACTCCCGGGAAAGCTCGGTGTAGGATGGAACCGACGATGCTCGACGATGGAATTTGGGCCAAGTCGATCGAACGTCGGGGGAGTGAGTCAGATGACCAAGGGAGAAAAAAAGAAACGGTGAGGAGGTCCTCCCGATCGCTTCTTCAACTTGAAGAAGAGCAATCTAATTCATGTAGGCTCTTTACAACCTCCCCCGCTTGAATTGGAAAGCAATTTAGAAATCCTTTTCATATGGGGGGTGTTGATAATTAAGAGTCTACATTGCTACATTCATGCAATCACTGAAGATGGCCGGCACTCCGCTCGAGTAAGTCCCAATTTATTTGACCCCTTGAAAGTCAAAGACATATAAAAAGAATAGTTTGAATTTCAAGTGGCCTGATTCGGAAACTCTCTTGACTTCACCTTTGCACTTCTATAGGGGATCTGTTGATATAATCGTAGATGCACGTCAATGGCACTTTGCCCAACGTCTATTTCCGTGTAACATTTCCCTCCAGCTTGCAGAGTTTTGCTCGGTACCAGTGCCAGGATTGGTTTCGCCACCACTTTTGACACGCCGAGTGTGACCCAAATCAAATTGTGTTTGTGGTCCCAACCGCTTTGAGAGGTACTCCCCTGCAGGTTAAGATGGAACCCCAAGACCATGGTTTAGTAAAAAAAGAACGTGGAAAAACAATCTTCCAGGGGGCCATTGTCAAGGTCCATGTTCGTTTTCGGGAATGGTCAAATCACGGTAAATCCACTTGCTCGAACATCGGGTCGTAACCCGATGGGCCTCAAAAAGAAACACAACATGCTGCTGTGCTACCAGTCCACCGTGAACATCAAACAACCAGATCTTTTTCGGAGTCTCTTAGTGAACTTTCACGGGCCCAAGTGACCTCATCCTGAAATCTTAAGGGGTCACTTTGAAGGGCTACACTTGACACGTCTATTGCTCCAACCCCCAAGGCGGAGGAATGCGCAAAGCCCGAGCTTGCAGCTACAGGTGCGACTGGCGCAACGTTTTTGGTATGCTGATTCCATTCACCTTTCAACTGTTTGCAGAGGCTTTACGGCAGGTTTGCAGCAATCACCAGAACGACCAAGCATCCACATGCACGATTGAAGAGAAAAAAACACCAACTGTCGAGTTGAAGCAGAAAACAACAAATATTATCAATTATTAAGATGTTTTTTCACATGTATGATTCTTCTTGCCCATGTATTTTTCCTGACTTTAAGTTCTCTTGAAACGTGTTGCGTTGTTTCACCTCAGGGCTCGGCCAGCCAGCCGGGCAGCCGGCGCGGCTCTGCCGAGGGGTCGGGTTGCCCAGGTGAAGGATGGAGACGGTCGCATGTGACTTATACACCCAGATGTGCCCCGTATGCACATGGACTGCGCTCAAAAAGCCCTACTCAAAAAATATAGATAAACGTACACTTTTAAGGTTGGAGATGTGTTGTTAAGTCTTCGTTTAGAAGCGGGCCCCCAGCAGGCTATGGTGATACAGCGAGGCAGCGCTAGATTGGCGCTAGGTTGGCGCTAGATTTCTTCATAACAGGATAAGCAAGCAGGAAAAAGAAACCAGCAGAGACTGAGAGCAGGAAAAAGAAGAAACAAGACTAAGACAAGAAAGGTAAAACAGAAGAAGAAGAAGAATGCACAACAAGAAGAAGACAAGCAAGCAGGACAAATAAGAATCTGACAGGATATAGAAATCGACGGATATTTTTGCGCTAGGCTGGCGCTAGATCCGCGCTAGCACCGCGCTAGACGACGGTCCATTTCTTGACCATTAGCAAATCCAACACCCAAATCCTTTGAGTCAGCTCTTACATCCTTCCTACGTCGTCCTGAAGATTTCTGAGAACAAAGTGGGAAAGTCCAGCAGCAGCAGTAATTAGCAGCAACAACAGCTCCAGCAGCTCAACAGGCCCCTGAAACGGTCCGCGCTGGACACCTCTCACAGTTTTTGCAGTTGACACGCCTTCATGTTTAACGTCCCTGTGATTTGAGTGTGCTTGGAGTTTAAAGGAAATTTAGAAGCGGGCCCCCATGGAACTGCGATGAGTGCACCATTTTGGGAAAAGACATATTGGAAACCAACCACATGTGCCCATTGTGATGGGAAAGGGGTCCAAAAACAACATCAGAAAGAGAAGCAAGGATGGATGGATGGACGGAAGAGATAAAACAAAGTAAAATCTGATTTGAATCTCTACTACGCTGCTACTACTGCTACTACTTTTGGCCGAAGAGCCTGTCGATGCTCAGTCATTTTCCTGCTGACGAACCAATGCAGATGGACACAAGAGGGCGGACGCCAGCTTTGCAGCGGTTGAAACGTGGCTTTTTGCCGCTGCAGAAGTCAGTGGTACTCCTTACTGTACCAGAAGTACTTGGAGGCCTTGGGTTGCAAAGTGGACGATCAATCCGACATTTCATTGCTCCAGCTTTTGCCAGAGTGCAGCCTTGTGGCTGGGTCGCGTGTGGCCAAAGCAACATGTGGCTTCTTTTCCATTACCCAGACGCGACCCATGAGACTGCCATATATGCCGATCAGTTGGGGTGGTTTGGGGGGTCAATGTAGGCATATATGGCAGTCCCATGGAGCGTTTGGCAGCGTTTGGGGTATGCAAAGATATGCAAAGTTGATGACTATATCGCTTCCACCAAGGCTTGGGAACCAGCCCAACACCAGAAGAAAAAAGGCGGGATCGTTTATTGCGGGGTGCAAAAGACGAGCACGGGGCCGCCGCGGTCTACGAAGAACTCGGCGCGAACCCAAGTTGCCCCAGGTGGCCAGTTGCCAATGCCGGCACACCCGACCACTGTTCAGGTGTGGCACGCCTCGCATATAAATAGAAACCTTTTGAAAGACGCGTGCTATTCCTATAGATCCTATAGCATATCCTATTCTGTAGAGCCAGATAGAGCCAGTCTGTCTTGGAGCTTTAAAGGATGACAATGGAAAAAAATCATTTTCATTGGAACTGGACCTTGTCCCAAAGCTAACAGCTGACTTTGGACTGTCCCCGAGACGACGGAGGAGTCCAATGGCAAGGAGTCCGCGCCCTTCCGGTCGAGGATCGAGAGGTGACCGGAGACTCCGCATCTGAACAGCTCGCTCTCCACATCAGCGGCGGAGGATGCTTCACTCCCGCCGAGTGACGAGCCCAAATGCTGCTACCCAGAAGCAAGTCCGATCAGGTCACGGAGCACGGAGGAGAGCCGCACATTCGCTGTGAAGGCAGTCCAAGCGTTGGAATTGAACTCCCTGAGTTAAGGCCCTCCCGTGCTTCAGTAGTACTACTCAGTTGTACTGATCGGGTGATGGGTGAATCATGCTGAATCCCCGACACCGGTGATTGTTGTTTCATTTTTCTTGTTTCCCATACACGACCTGTCTGGGACTGCCAGTCCGGACTGCCTTCAAAACGGGCGTTCGGGGTGGTGGGTGCCAGGGGGGTCGGCCTCTGGGGCGGCAGTCCGCAGTCCCATGGAGTGCTTAGAGCCGACAAACCGACAGGGACGAGGAAGAAGACGTCCGTGCGGAGATGTTCCTGAAGGCGGCGGAGGGGGGGTTGGCAAAAGGGGTCGAATGTGGCATGTTGGTGAAAAGCAATGAGATTTGAAGAGGCCTTTGTGAGGAGAATGTGAAGCATGCAAGCTAACAAAAACATCAACCCTCAACCCCACATCCTACACGAGCATGTATGAAGCCCTATTTGTTCGGTGCCTATCCGGTGCTTCTCAGCCTGCCCCGAATGGTGCGGAAAGAACAGGCGCAGCGCTTGTTGAAAAAACCTCTCACCGGTTCCGTGGCTGGTTGGTGACACATGGACTAGGAAATCTGTGCAGTGTCTGCTGCAGATTAAGACGGCGCCTAATTCCTATTGGTTCACATGTGCAGATTGGTGGGGGTTCTCCTTCTCCACAATTCCCGAATTCGGCAATCTTCACTCACCAATCACTCAACCTCCATCTCCACCAGGCTCCAACAAACGAGTAAATTTAGTTATATAAACATGGTTTCCAACAAACTGCATTGATACGAGGGATGCCATTGAAAGCGCGACATGTTCGTGGCCGACGTCAGCATGCATGGAATTGACGGATTCAAACCTGTGACTTCAACGAGCAACTTCGGAGGCCCTCCCCCCCAAGACCTGATAAAAATATCATCCAATGGTATCCCAAGACATCCTCTTTGGAAGAGGTGAGGGCTCCCGTATGAAAGCAGCGACGCAACCATCTTCTATTTCCCGCCTCCCTTGGATGAAGAAAATGCCACCACGCACTGTTGTTCGTCCATTTGGATACAGAGGTCCGGACAGTCCAGTTCCGTCCAGTTACGTCTTTCATCTCCTCACCAAAGCGGGTTGGCCGGAGAAGCGATGTGGCGGTCCAGGTGTTGGTTCAGGCCACACGCAGCGATCCCAAAGGGTTCGTTGGAACAGTATCTACGGATCACCCCTGACTAAATATATGTATGTTCCATCCAATAACCAGCCCTTCCGTGGTGCTGGGTTGCACCATCCCTGCGTCCATGCACGTCGTTCGGTGAAGATCCCTGTGCTCCGCTGCTGTTTGCGCTTCGTCTTCTGAGCCTAGTCGAGTCGTGGGGTGCGAAAAAGCTCCACGGATCCCGGTCCACTTGGGTGTGGGAAAGAAAAACAAGTAAGTGGCTTCTTTTTTTTCAGAAAGAGACACCAGAAAACATGCAAAGACTTCCGAATCGAAGAAGAATTGCTTCTGAATCAAGTGGGGTTTGGGATCCTGTGGGTTCTATATTCTGGGGTTGATCGCTGAACAGTCGGACAGCCTCAACAAAATCTTGAGATTTGTTTATAGCTTAATAAAAGGTTACATTTAGTGCCCATGTTCATCAGATGGGACCAGATCTTTCTAGATCTTCCGAACACACACTTAAACCCAGCAGCTTCCGTGATGTGAAACCCATCACTTTTCGTCAACTCATGGGGCGATCAACCCCTTGGTGCTGTGTCCTCAGCTTGGCATGGTCCTCTCTCGCCTTACGTGACAGCAACTCGGATACCTTGGGCCTGGAGACAGGCGCGCGGGGTGTGGCGTCGGGGGGGGTTCGCGCACAGGTGATTTGCCGTGCTTGTTGCACCAGACAGTTTACCGTTAGGGCTCTCTCTTTTGGGAAGAAAGTGGTCACACCCTTTAGCCGTGCCTGAACCTGTTGTCCTCCTGTTGTCCTGCTGCTGTCCTTTGGCCAAGCTCGCAAGCCGTTTGTTCTCCTGGTGTCCTCGTGCCGTGCTGGCGAAGCAATTAGTAACATTAAGAAGCTAGGAAAGTAGCGATGCCTTCCAACACGACTTGTTACCGCCCCGTCTCCGCTTCCGCGGCCGCGACTGAGACCGGCGTTTGTTCAGCGGAACACAGGGCGGTGCCAGGCGACTGCCAGGTGGAAGCGGCAGAGACCAAGCGAACCTTGTTGGAGCTGGGCGTGCCAGGCGCGGCCGGGATGAAGAGTGCACAGGTGGATTCGGCCCCTTCGTTCGACAGGTCAGAACTTCTTGCTTTTTTTTTTCACGACTTTCTCGTGCGGAGTTTGAGTAAAGCTCCTGCGCCATATCGATGTTTTCTTAAATTCCATGCCTTCCAGCCATATCGATTTGTGCAACTCGTCCTGCTTCTCCATGCGACCTCGTTGCAGCCACAAGGAAAGACCACCACCTACAGTTGACACTGAGATGAGTCGGTGGTGGGATTCAGCAACTCCATAAACCTCCCTGTTCAGCGACTCTTGCAAGATAGGCAGATGCCTCAGCCGCTCATATTGGATTTCAGAGATCCATCATGATCCATCAATATATATATATATACAATATATAATACATAATATATATATATGTATATGCCAGGCCCATAGGGAACATTATTGAACCCACATTTCTTGGGTGCCGCTTTGGAAGTATTTTTGGTACATGTCGAGAACTTCTTCGGGAAGCTGAAAGCACTGATGGTACCTTCCTGGGGTCCTTTTGAGGGCATCATGCCAGAGTTTTAGGTGGATATTTTGGGTCGGTCCTCACACTCAAATATATAAAACCTTTGTGGCAGTCTATTATACCTGCCACAGTCAAATATATTAGCACTAAACAGGCAGCCTCACCTCAGGCCGTCCGTCCTGAGATGGCGAACTTGAAACAAGCTCCCCCTGTTGGCTTCGTGCCCGGTTCCGCTACTGACCTGGCAGGTTCACTGGAGCCTGAGTGACCGTACGTGACCTTGAGACTTTTTCAAGCTGTTGTTTCACGTTTGTATACGAGACATACTTGGATTCTACTCGTTTGGCTCAAGGCAAAACAGGTGTTACATGGTGTTACCATTAGTGGACTATAAGACGGTCATTCACCTGGACACTCTCAGTGCAGAATGCCGCTGTTCTTTTCAACCCGGTTGTTCCACGCCGTTCCATCTCCGAAAGCTCCAAACTCCAGTTGCCCGCTCACCCTAGCTGCTCAAATCGCCCTGCTGCCCCAACCGCAACGCCGATTCGACACAGACGCGACGTTCGACGTTCGACGCGAGCGTTGGAGGTCAGGAACTCCTGGGCGAGGACCATTGTCAATGGGAATATGTGACGTGTGAGCTTCCTGACAGACGCGACGAGCCTTCGATGTGGAGGGTGTTTTGGACCGACCACCTGGTGCTGAGGTGCTTGGAAGTGGTTGTTTTGGGCATACAGGAAACTGGTTGCGTTCAGTAGAAGGTAACCTAAGGGCGTTTCTCCGGTGAATTCTCAAAACTTGACAGAGCATGACAAGTCCGTAGCATGACATCAGCAAAACCAGGTGTTCAGAGATAGAATTCATGTTGTCCGAGATGTTTTGAGCCTTTTCGCCTTTCCCGCGTATCCTTCAGACTTAGAAAAAGTCGTTGGAGGGGGCTCATGGATTTGAAATCAGTCGCACTTGGTCTGCACACCTGAGGTTTCTAGGCTGCCACGTTATTGAGCTCTACTGCCGGCATAGCTGTCAAGGCCGGCTCCCGAAGGAGCTCAAGCTGAAACACCTGATGGAGGCCAGCAGCTGTCAAGCTCGAGAAGTGGAGGTCCAAAAAAAAAGAATATATATATATATTAACTATATTTATATATATATATATGTATACAGTATATATACATATGGCCCTACAGAACAGGATGGATTATGTGGTGTTGTTTCTATTTATTCAATGTTGATTCAATGTTGCTATGTTTAAATATGTTTAAATTGTGTATTTATATATTTATATATATATAATTATTTGTGATATTTATTTCCCTCTTGCGTTTGCTCAAGGCATGCAAGTCTTGCTTTCAGCCTTTTGGGTTGTAGAAGTGGTCCTGTTTTGACGCCTCCGTGTGGTTGGCCTCGGCAACGTTTCAGTTTGCAGTTCCCTTCTGCAAGATGCGCATGTCATGATCATGTAGACATGTAGAATGCCCCCCCCGCCTTCCATTCGACCATTCAACTATAGAGGTTGACCTCTTACAGATCCGTAAAATAAGCACCGGCTGGTCAAGAAACACCGGGTTGGACGATGTTGGAAGCAGGCATCCCCTTGCCAGTTCACAACCCAAACCCAGCAAAAGGTTGTTGTTCTTTATCTCAAGTCAAGTGGTGCACCAGTTTTTTCTTCAACGATTCACCGGAAAAAAAGACCTTCCAGTGCACTCCTTGATCTCCTTCCTTCACCTCCTTCCAGCGCACTTGATTGAGACAGGTGGACTTGTGCAAGTCCAACGTCACTGGGGACCTCGCAAGCTTCCAACACACCCCCAAGCTCACGCGTCCCTTGGGCTGTGCCAGCTCCAAAAAACGCTCGAACACCTGCGCAAGGACACGAGACACGAGACAGTCGCGAAGACACGTGGCAAGTTAGATTCGAACACGCCAACCGGAGTCTGGCACAGGACACCGTGCGAAAGTAACCGGAGAACCTTTTTTGACGTAGCCGTGAAGGTGAAACCATGTGAAATACAATTAAAGCTGGGTGAGTTCATAGATCTCAGTCTGGGTAGTCAATATAGCTATTATAGAATGCTATATATAGTTGCCCTGTCAGGGACCCTGTTCAAAGATGAATGGCACAACTACACCACCTGGGAATTCGGGGATAGAAACATCCTGAATCGTATTGAGACAGTTCTTTATAGTTTTTTAGGTGATTAGATAGGATATTTTTCTTCAACAACATCTATATCAGCAGAAGATTCTCGCGTAGTGAGCAATGCTTGTGACACACCGCTTGGGGCATGTGCCTTTTAAACAACCACCCAATTGTGAGCGATGTGAAGCAACTGAAGGCTCAACGTAAATAGTTAAAAAAGAACACACTCAAGTCGAAAAGTCAAGAACTTGCTCATCAACTATATAGGTACTGGCACAATTTAACAGTGAACCAACATGAACCAACCGAGTGCAGAAGTCAGTGAAGAGAAGTTTGAAGCTATGCATACTGCTTGACCGGCTTGACCAAGGTCTCTTTTTGGACAAGTCGCGCATGGGAGGCGACCTCAAGGATTTGGAAGCGACCCCACTGCTGGAAGCCCTTAGCCTGGCCCAGACTCGCGTCGGAGGCCGGAGTCGCGAGTTGAAACTGAGCCAATCCCAACTAGTTGGGTAGCTGAAGATGCTGGTGTTCGTGTCCTTCGTTGGGACTGTGCCATGTATTTGGGTGCATGTTTCTATGCCTTTTTTCCATATCAATAGGATATATAATATGAATTGAACGGATTTCCATGTCAAGTGGATCAAAAGTTGAAATCCGTTCGGCAGGACTCCCGACTCCGTACTTAAGCTCCTCTCATCGCCAGTCCCGCCGACTCGCCGGAAGGGGCGGACGCTCCAGTCCTGGAGCCCGCGGGCGACGTGGGGGCGGACGCTCGCCAGCCGGACGGTAGCTCAATAAGAGTGTGAGGAACAGTTTTTCACCGTGAACAGATTCTTCCGATGGCTCAAAGACTTCTTCCGATGCTGGAGGATGTCCATGTCTCCTGTCCCGACTTCAGTGACCACAGGCGACATTGCGGCCCTTGCGAAGTTACCAGCAATGCAAAGCAGCCTGGCTCGCATTGGGTCCCAGTGTTTGGTTCGGCGGTGATTTTTTGGGGTCGTGAGGCGTTGGTTTCTCCGTCCAGTTGGGGGTTGATTCAGAGGTCAATGATCCACATGCTGGTAGCTTCAATTCAAGCCCGCCCTCAGGAGGTGAATACATTTTTTCACTTAAGGAGTAGGCAGTGTTGACATGTAGAGGAGGCAGTAGAGGAGGCTGGTTCTGATTTCCCGCAGCAGCTGGATCCACATTACTAGTATACGTACATGCAGTCTTTGGGCTCTTGGATCTTTCGAAACAGTGGCCAGTGGCCATCCAACGGGGGGGAAGCGATGAACTCCGCTCGGAACTGTTCCTTGCGCGAACGGTGTGCGCCCGTGACGGGCCCCAGACCCGCTCGGAACAGCGGTGCGTCGGTCTCTCCACCGAGGGGTCGTCGGTCTCTCTAAGGCGTGCAGCTTCAAAACACCCAGGTGGAGGGAGATGTCAAGGCCGACGTTCGGCCTGGCACAGGTGTGACGTAGGCCAGATCGCAATAGATCGCCATAAATTTTAAGTTATGAGTCTATGCGATGTTATACGGGATCGAAGGTGCCCTCAACATGGCCATCACAAATCACCATCGTCGACAACAAGTTAACATTCAACACATATAACACATATATGCATATAATAACGATCACCAGGTTGACGATCACCGTTTCGCTTCTTTCAGGCGGTTTGACCTCCAGGTCCGGCCACGTTTGGGTTTGACCAGTCCGACCTGGGGACCTCTGCCGGTCTCCACGACTCGTGGCATGGGGTGGTGAATGGACATCCCTGAACCCTTAGGGGGCCCTGGTACTTTTCTATTTGTTTGGGTGTCTTATATAGAAAGACCTTCCAGTGAAAAGCCTCCCTGCTTGGTAGGGCTTGGACCAGGCTACCCAGCGATTGGGGCGATCGGGGGGGGGGGTGGACACATCAACGGCACCTGTTGGGCAAACCAACCAGAGGTTAAGTGACCTGAGAAGGACTCTACTGGGGTATCTAAAGGATAGTCTATAGGGTTTTTCTAACCTTTGCTGGAAATTATTCAATAGGTATATTCACCCAACCTAAGAGCGATGGCCTCCTCCCATCCTTGCACCCAACTTGCAGGGCCCTTCTTGAAATGAGATCTATTGGCGAACAAGTTCTGTTGGTGTTCACTTGTGTACCAGTACAAGTACTATTGGCCTGTTCTTGTTCACCCTATGGCTGAGCAGACCCCCAGTTTGTTGCTGCGCATTGATGTAGACGGTTGATGTCGTAAAACCCCTCATATGGAGGCAAATCCATTCTGGTAGGGGGCAGGTATTTCATCCACAGTCTATAGCAACCTCTCCCTTTAGGTTCCAGCTACCTCCCGGGCCGGGGAGGTGTTTGCAGCCTTTGGAGCTACGTCAGACCTGATGGAGGCCTGGGGGTCTGTTCACTCCAGCGAAGCCTTTGACACGTGACGACCGTGGCACGTGGAAGTGCAAAGCTTTTTGCAAATTCCTGGTTTTCTAGGGGGTTCAATGACAGCAAAGGTTTTATCAGATGCCTTTTGCAGGTGCATTTGGAAAGCCGTCGTTACAACAGGGTCCCATGCTGAAAACGATGCCGTTTTCGCCGGATCTCGTCTGTTCCGGTGGGCAGCTCCCCAACCACCTGTTTTTCACGCCAGGTGAACTTGGCTTCGACCAAGGTGCATGGCAACTTGACACACTTCACAGGTGCTGAGGACCTACAAAGGTTAGACCTCTCCAACACCCAGGCGCACTGGGGGTGGCACAGACGCGACCCATGGCACATGGGACTGCCATAGGACTGCCGAGAAACGGCCAGGGGTGGTGCCAGGGGGGTCTTTCTGGGGCGGCATATATTCCAGTCCCATGGAGTGTATGGGTGTATAAATATATATATATACATACCATGTTTGGGAAGAAGATGGAAGAAGCATCTTTTGGGCGGTGTTGGTCTAGACTTATTGGGAGCACCGGCAGACGGAGGGTTGGAGATAACGACTTATGGTGTTGTATAAGGGGTTGGGTTGGGTTGTGGAGTTTCGACTGCTGGAATGGAATTGGTATCAGCATAGCGCCTTCTTTCACTGCACCATTGGCGGTGAATCCAGAAGATTCCTCTTGTGATGCGTGTCAAAGCATGTTAAAGCAGAGCAATTCTGGCCACAAACATGTTGAAAGAAGGACACTTGCCTTGAAGCAAAAGCAAGCGCAAGAGCATGTGAGGTCAAGTTGTATCCTCCTTACACTTGCCAAAGCATAGTTTTGACCCACAAATCGGAAAACATGGAGCACGAACCAAGGGAGCAAAACAACAGAAAACCAACAAATATCAACATGCCAGCACCACCCAAAGGGTAGTTCATACATGTTCCATCCCATAATAACAACCCTTTCATTGGTGCTGGTAGAACACATAAATCACATTAAATAACCAGCAGTCACGAGACGGGTTGCCGAACTTGGAGGAACTCGTTTTCATGTCCTCTCCTTCCACACGGTGGGTTTCTGGGCACCTGGGGACACCCCACGTCTCCGCCCATGCCGCAGTGCTTGGTCCACAGTCGGTGGGTTTCCATGTCATAGCGATGGCCTCTGGTATAAATGGGTTCCAAGGCAGGTCGAACAGTGGTTACTGGTCCAATTATGGCAGTGTGATATCGAAATCCTGCAGTGAAGCATTGATAAACAGTGGTGAAATACTGCGAATCCTGGGAATCCTTGATTCCACAGTTCCACAGGCTTCAGAAGCGCGTTCTGACCAGAATCTGGTCCCTGTCGGGTTCGCGTTTGAAGCTTTGGGACCCGATGTTTCCAACAACTGAGGTCGTAGGCAAGAGGGAGCGATGTGGCCCAACACGTACTCCAGGATGTGGCAACAACTGTTCGGTGCCGAGTTATTCCGATCCGAGTGGATGTGACATCCCCCAAAAACCGAGTGATGTATCGATCAAATCCTCCCAATTCACCTGGTACCCAGACACGACTGATGGGACTGCCATAGGACTGCCGATCAGTTGGGGTGGTTGATGGGTCAATGTGAGCATGTATATACCATACAGTATGGAGGTCAACGTGGGGTATGGAGCTGCTGACTTCAGCGTTTGAACTCTCTCAGCAAAAAGGAGCCTCGAATTCGATCCCTTCATCCTGCGATTTGCGGATCTGGCCCGTCTCCTCCGCAGGTGACGGGGACTTTAGGACCCAGGACTTGGCTGGTGAAGGGTGAAGAGCTACAGGTGCTCAATTTGGCAAATACCTCCATAACCTTCGAGTTTGATGCTTGGAGACGAAGACGGACGAAGAGGACGGGGAAACGTCGAAGCAGGTGAATTCCAGAGCTGGGACGGTGTCCTGATGTTTCCGCCAAGCGGGTTCCAGCATCACGGAAGTGTCTAAGAGTATACTGGAATCATATGGAGGGTAGATCAGGATCCGCCAATGATTTGTCTTGTTACCAAACTTTTGGGGTTTAGTGTCCAACACTTTGAGCGCCAAGATGAAGAGAAGGATTTGGCACCGGCTTTGCACCAATGCTCCACCTGTTACGGCCGGATGTTGCTGGGTGCGAAGAAGCTGCGTCTCCACGACCGGAGGCCATGGGCCCGCCCTGTTCTCGCTGCACCGAGGATCACAAGTACAGCATCCTGCCCAGATTGGAGTCTTTGAATGTCCAAAGTTGACGCTGGGCGTCACACGACCGGACTTGAGCTCTGACCCCATCAAGACCGACCTTTGTTGGGCTCGGGTTCACGCCCAAGAGTAGGGCGGCTGGGGTTTAAAGAGGATACTCCCTAGAAAATCAACATGGCACCTGCAAACCACTGATTTGTGGAGGAAGCTAGTCTTCCAAAGGTCCATTTTCAGGTTCCATGTTAACCTTCCCGGGTGTAGTTCTTTCAGACCTCCGAAATGGCCCCCACCATCAACTGGCCGCGCTTCTTCCTGACCGGCCCAATCGGAGGGTTTGGGTCACTTTGGGGTGGTGCCTGGGGGGTCAATGTCGGCATATATGGCAGTCCCATGGAGTGTCTGGATATGTAATATATATATATAGTTATACCCAGACACTGCAAGACTAGGGAGACATGGAGTGTCTGGGGAGTCTATATATAGTTATGTACGCCTAGACTCTGCAAAGGACATATAATGTTTGTCCGTTGGTGTGGACCATGTTCAGGCGATACGACCAAAAACAACACCACTGAGCCATTTTGGTGTCAGTTCTCCTAACTTCCTGCGTCATGTTTTCCATTTTCTTCAGGGTCCAGGCACATGAACACCTGTGCCTCCATAAAAAAAAAAAACTAACAATTTTAAAAACTATTCAATAATCATACGCCCAATTCTGCCCCAAAGTCGAAGTGGATACCCAAGTTTGGGAAGTCCGGATGGGTTTGCAGGTTATCTGGAATGTAGGAGGTGTTCATGGATGTTCTTTTTTTTTCGGTCAGCCGCCAGGAGTGCTGAAAAACGGACCAACCTGCAGTCACAAGGGAGTGTTTGGGGTCATGGTGCCCAAACACTCCATGTATTACCTGTATGAGTGACATTAGGATCATATGTCGTGGTTGTCCCACACATGAAAAAAGGGGGTCGTAGGAACATGTTCCAGTTCCACGTCACACTTCGCTTCGCAAGAAAAACCCGGCGCGGCTGTGCGCCGAGGCGATCTCCGCGCGGACGTCATGCACCTGCTGTCGCTCGGCTGACCCGTCGACCGTGCGCAGACTGACTGACTCCGGGCGGTGTTCCAAGGTCGGTTTTTTTAAAGGTTGGATGCGCTATACGCGCACCTATTGTGACCTAGTGGTGTGAACGGTTCCCAAAGTCATGAAAAATAGATGCACAGTTGCACAGGGCGGCAAAACCACGGTAAGTATATTCAACATCCTTATCCACCGATCACAATTGTACACGATCACTATTGTACACGTTTGAACTCAAGTTTTGCCCCGCCGAAGGCTACAACCGTTGTTCATGCATGAGCATTGGTTCACTAACAAAAACGCCTCCGGACAACGACTTGTCCAACATTCTTTTGGACACCTGCAGCGATGCTGGAGGTTTTGGAGAATGGCAATGTAGGGCGACCCAACCATGGAAATCACAGGTACTTGCCAGGTCAATTCGGAGACAGATTCACCATTCTTGTTGCCGACATCGAGAGAGATCTCTCGGAATGCCGATGTTCCATTTCAATGTGCACCCTAGAAGTTCCAATGTGCACCCCTTTGCCACAAGTGAAAGGAAATTGCTGGGTCACTTCAAAGTAGGCTTTGAGGGCAAGTAGAGTCCCTCATGTAGTTGCAGAGTTGCTCCATGTTGTTCCTCTAAACCAGTTCCGCACCTCCCTCCCCAAACTGAATGTCCCGGACTCCAACAATAACTAAAGTTTCAGTGCTACCCTTACTCGCAAAAGGCCATTTTTGCAAACGGCATTTGCACATCCATCCTGTTTCACCAGCCAAAAGACTGTTAGTCTACGCCCCCTCGTCTCCATGTCGCACATGTGAAAGCACATCCATCCTGCTTCACCAGCCCAAACGCTGCGAATCGTACCGAGGCACTCCTTCAGTCGTTCCGGCTCCTTGCAAACGATCATCGCCTCGGACGCCTCGCTCAGTGGGGAACTCCTGGCGCTCAGCGGTGCGGTGCCCATCTCGAAGTCCCTGCTGACGTTGGACCTCTCAGGCCGGGCGAGGTCCCGTGATGCGAACGACACGGAGAGGGAGAGACCTGGTTCGGTCCACAACGGTGCCCGGAGTAGATGGAAAGAGACCTGGGAACGGGATTTCGGGCGGAGTAGGCGGAGTCGGGTGAACGTGATCGGATCGCAGTTGATGGGTTGTCGGGAGAACACGTAGGACACAAGATAGGACCGAACCTGCAAGCCTAGAAGCTGAGGGACCTTTGTTGCTGGAGGTTTCTGGCGTTTTGTTTGACCTTTGCACAGTCGTCCATTGAAAAACAGCAGAAGGGTCGTCCTTTTGTGGAGTGGATTCCCAGCGGGCCATGTTCCATAAGTTTTTCCCCTAAGTCTTGCCCTAAGTCTCCCATGTTGTGAGTTTGGGTCTAACTTGTGCCCGCAAGTTTCAGACAGGTTGCGCGAGGACGTCCTCACATTGCATGATTATTGCCGTGCTATTCACATCGAACTTCGCTGTCCTGGTTGCGGGCTCACAGAAGTTGCATGACCCTGCTTTCTTATGTTTATTCTTTCCTGCCATTTTTCGGAGGAGAATCGTCGGAGAAGGTTCCGTTTGGAGTTACTGACGTTACTGTACCGTTCCGCTAGAGGGCCTTTTTGGAGTTCCCTCCAAACGCAGTACCAAACGCTTGACCCCAGGGGGGGGGGTCCTTCCTTCGGCTGAACATGGAGCCTTAGACTAGACTCTTGGCATGTCCAGTTCCTATCAGTTCGGACGAATGAAGTGATCAACAAAGGATCAATTCCCATATGAGGTGTGGGAGTGGAGTTGCCAGTTGCCCCCTTCGCGGGTTGCTTGGGCTCCGATGTGAGGGAACAACATCACCAGAGTGTGGCGCATTGCTACCTGGGCCGAGTTTGGCCGGACCTTGATTCTTGGGCTGTGCTTTTCTGACCGTGGAGCTTCTTTTTGGGTGGGACAAGCAGTGCCGATCGAACAGGTGGAGGCAGATCCAATGGGCAAACACATCGAAGAGATCGTTATATGACGGTTTCTTGTAATGTCCATCATATCACCACCTAGGCGCTCCAAACAGCCGGACCGGTCCAAAAACCTGTGAATTTTTTCACCCCAGACCCTCCATGTGAGGGTCCAATCCCTCCATAGCAGGGTCCAGGAGTATTTGGGTAAAAGATACTAATACAACCTTTCTGTTCCATATCAACAATGCACACGTAACACAACATATTGCACTCGCTCAATTCTATGCCCTACATTGGAGATTGACATGTCCTGCCTAAGAAGAAGGGGTCAAATACTGTTTAATCGGACATCCAGGAGTGACCGTTCGAACCTTGGTACCATCGAAATGCCACCTCCTTAAACAACAAGGTAAGTCAAGAATTTACATGGTAATCAAACCAGGATGATCAAATGTTAGCCAGAGGTTCACCTCCACAGCCTTTGAGGACTTTACTACAGAGGCAGCAAAGCCCCGTGAGAGTGAGCAAGTATGTCTTGGAGGCGCGCCAGGTTGAGGACTTCCTGGATAGGGATGGCTTGGGTTTGTCCCAGTACAGTCGGTAAACAAGAACGTCACTATTCTAGAGAGAGGCCTGCAAACTAATCATCATCCACCACCACTACCACTACCACTACCACTACGACTACCACTACCACTACCACTACGACTACTGCTGCTGCTGCTGCTACTGCTGCTCCTGCTCCTGCTGCTGCTGCTGCTCCTACTACTACTACTACTACTGCTACTACTACTACCCCTACTACTACTACTACTTCTACTACTACCCCTACTGCTGCTACTGCTACTGCTGCTGGTAATGGGATATACGATTGCATTTTCGCAAAGTGCCCATGAGAAACTTCACTTGGGACTAAAGACCAGCTCTTGGTCACATGAGGGTGACTCCAAGATCCTGCTCAGTGAACAATCCATCTCTGCTCCGTTCACCAATTTCGGCCTGGCACTGTGTGTCAGAGGATGTCTTGTCTTAAGCCAGTTCCTCGTGTTGTTGGGGGGTGCCCGGTCAATTGATTGTCCTCCAGCCAAAAAAAAAAAAAGCCAAACAAAAAAGGGATCCAATTACCTTCTCAGGTTCAGTGCGACTGGACCCTCCTGACCAAAGCAGCCAGAAATGAGATCATGCCCAAAGCAACCAAGTACCTTCTCACACCTTTTGAGGAAGGAGACACTGTTATGTAGGTGCCTCCCCCACGTCCGATGCCTTGGTGAGGCGGCGGTGGCCTCGCAGACCGTTTTTGACTTGACGGGCACCACCTTGTCGCACCGTCAAGCTTCTGGTCGGCACTTGGTTCGGAGTAATTCACTGATCGGTGGCCTCGCGGAGGTTTCAGGGAGGCCACCCAAAGCATGCACAAAGCACAGCATGCACTATCAGGACACTCTAGCAGCTAGCACACATTTTGGGGCGCTGGCTGTCACTCCAGGAAGCGGCTGGCGAGCTTTTCGCGCCCCTGCTGCAGTCAGACGTCGTTCGGGGTGAGGCGACCTGAGGTCGAGAACCCCGCCGGAGCCGCGAGAGACGCCGGCCGATCGGAGACCGAGTTTTCCACGCCCGACTTGGGAGGTGGGTTGACCATGTGGGTTGACCGTCGTCCGCGCACGCGCACGCGCCCGGGGTAGATGAATGGTGGTGGAACCAATCCAAAGTTGACCTCAGTGTTTCAGTGGGGGTCCACTATGGTACACTCCTTGAAATCATTATGAAAGTGGACTAATTAGTGGAGTTCACCACCTGTTTGGTATCAGGATTTCATGGTCATCCGAACTACAGAGGACATGTGTCATGTCGCGTCACCATGATCATTCCAGGGGGTCCCGGCCTCCCAAGAAGGGTGGAGGCAATTTCTTGGGCTGACAGCCTGAGAGGCTTCCGAAAACACACAGAACTGAGACTGCCTCGCTAGAGGACCATGGACGATTTGGTTTGATCTCCAAAGAGTGCGCCTTTCAGCCAAAAGGCAGAGGTAGCCAGCTACTTCCATCTACTTCCTTTGGGAAACTTTAACACTATCAGTTCAATCAAGAGTTAGGGCTCAACCTGGATCGTGTTACGTTCCACGCCTTGCATGTGGACAGTGCTTGGAACGTAAGCGCGGAAAAGCAGCAAAAAAACATTCTGGCCAAAGAATGCAGCTATGTCATCCAAGGTCAACTCAAAAATGACCACACATGCCCAAGTTTTCAGGCGACTTCCTAATGCCTGGGAAAGGGTTTTTGTGTTTGTCCATGGCCCTCAGCATATACTACTACTACTGCTGCTGCTGCTGCTGCAACAACAACAACAACTACTACTAGTACTACTACTACTACGACTACTACTACTACTACTACTACTGTACTTTGCTATACTATTCTATACTATACTATACTACTACTATACGGCGACGACGACGACGACTACGACTACTACTACTTATACGACGACTACTACTACGACGACGACTACTACGACGACGACTACTACCACTGCTACTACTATAGTATACTTCTACTACTACGACAAGTGCAACTACCACTCCTACTCACTACTCAGTATACTCACTACTCATACTGCTACAGCATGCTATAACACTGCTAATGGTAATGATGCTGCCAACTACTACCGTCATTAAACTCACCGCCTCAAAAGCTGCAATTTGCCGGGGTTCCTCCCAGATCTTCCCTCGTTATCCTCTCTAAGGCCAGCGGTTTGCTGAAGAGTACCACAGAGTTTGCGTTGCGCGATGAGCAGGGGGGCTTCGCATGTAAAAACCTCATTGCGGGGAGCCTTTGACGATTCAAAAGGCAGTTTTTTTGCACCCACTTGTCAGTGGGGGGGCGTCTACGAAACCAGCATTGTTGCTGACTGTTGTGTTGGTCGCTTTGCGACAATTGCGACGGGGTGAACATGCGGAGGATGTTTAGCCAGGGAGTGAAATGTGGACAAGGTGGGCAGTGTTTCTTTGTCGAAAGAGGAAGGGTGGCAACAATTGCCCTCTCCTTCAACGAAGGAATACTTTTGCTCTTTGTTGAATCTAGTGATCCATGGAACCGTTTCTTTTTCTTTCCGTGAGTATTTTGGGAGAACTTGAAACCTCAGGATATGCCGCTCGTGAGAGGTTTGAGTTTGAGTTTTCCAAGGCATTGAAGTTTGCTTGTCCCGTTTGTTTTTTTCGACCTTCATCCTGCAGATGACGAGGATCCTTTGTGGGCATCAGAGTCCAAAGTTATCCAAAGCACCTCCTGAGGACCTAATAACAAAGACTACCCTAATATACCTATTGAAACTCATGTCGTGAAGGGTGGGGGCGTGTTTCATTTACAGGTGGAACGGATTATGATGCTGATGTGGTTTGCCATGTTTTTTTCCTTGTGTGGTCGGAACCACGTCACCTAAGGAGTCTTCGTGTGACACCATCGCTGTTTCTGCCCGAGGAACTTTGCAGGTGGGACCGATCACCCCAATCATCCCACGGGCGGTCGATGGCCTCCAGCCTAACTGCAAAAGGAACCTATAATAGCAATAGCCTTCAACCGAATAGCAATGGCCTCCAACCTAATAGCAATGGCCTCCAACCTAATAGCAATGGCCTCCAACCTGATAAGGATGGCCGCCAACCCTGATTGATTGAAACGGGAAGCCTCGATTTGGCAGAGCGCGAGAAGGAGCCTCAACTACTGGACCGTGGGAATTCCTGTTCAAGCATAGACACTAGACCAAGACCATATCCCGACCTTTTTTTGCCCATGAGTAGAATGGTTCCTGCCATTTCAAACTCTAAAGCAGTTGAAGCAAATGCTCCTTTTGGATTTGCAGTTTTTGCCCAAAGAAACCGCTGTCCGCGGGTCTTGGGGCTATCCATGGGAACTGGAATATTTGCCATCGAGTTTGCTATCCCATTTCGTCCCTTTTCCACCCCTGGCCTGATGAGTCTATATGGCTCTGGGTAAGGTCAACATAAGGTTAAGCAGCAAACCTAAAGGTCCACCTGAAAGGTCAACCTACCCTAAGAGGCTCCAGGTCAACATACCCACATCCACCCAACCTTACGGCGCACGATGGTCGTGCCGCACCGTCGCACCGGAAGCGATACGCGTATACGAAGCGATTCGCGCGAATCTGTGGGGGCGGCCTGTTCGGCCATGGCGCAGCGCGTGAACGGAACGTTGTGTTGTAAGGTGGGCCGGCTGATCGCAGCTGGGGCTGAGAGAAAGTCCCCATGGGTGCGCAGCCTCCGCCGTCGCAGGTGTTTGCCTGGCTGGTATGGGCATGGAGCGCAGTGTCGTCCTTGTCCACCCAACACCTGGAAGGACAGCGTCACCAACGCTGACACGTGCCACCCGTGTCCAGCCAACAGCACGCGGCCCGGAACTGAAGAGTGGAGCCGGCAGGCGCGAGTCGAAGCCGTTCAGAACACCCGTGTTTCGAGTCACTCCTTATTGGTGCTAGACAATCAGGTGTTCTGAGGTTTTTGAGTGGCATCGCACTGCTCACCGCGCTAGCGGCTCCGGTCACAGCGAGAAGGTCGTCCAAAAGCATTCCCAAGTACCCCAAGGACATAGGGCAAAGCGACGTACTTGTAAAGGGTTTGGGTTTATCATGGCTCATGTTTATGTTACTCTTTGTTTTGTGTTTTCAAGGATCAAGCGATTAAAAGGTGGGTCATGTTTTACTATAAGTGCTTCAGCGATTCAGGAACCAAGACTGCAGCTCTATGAATTCCACCGCGCGACATATCGTGCGACTCTATGTCGATGCATTTTTTGCGACATCCACCAACCTACTAGCGATGGCCTCCAGTAGCGATGGCCTTCATGTTTCATCTCATGCAATCAAGCTTCGTTCGTTCGGGTCCATCTCCCAAACCTCGTCCGTCCGTCCTGATGCCAACGCGAACGAGCGGATGGGCGGATGGGCGGCGGCTGAGGTCCTTGGAGGGCTCCAGCGAGTTGCGTCACTGCTTCTCGCCAAGCGGTTTGCGCTTTCGCTAGCGGAGCGGGTTTTTGGGGGGTGTGGCCTACAGCTGGGGTGGTGGTAAAACCTGGGGTTTTTTGCTCAAGGGGCCTTAGGGGTGATGCTCTTTATGGGGATGAATCTGCGTTTGGAAAAGAGTTTCTTGATCAGTTCTTTCTGGTTCTTTGATTGAGTGAGTATATGAACAAATGACAAAGGGAACTACCCTCCGACTTCGCACCAACCGAAGCTCTGGCTAGCTTAGGGTCTTCCCGGGGGCTCATTTGCCACTTCCATGTGACGAACACAGAGTGTTCGTCAGAGCACTCCAGGAGCATTCAGCCGTTCAGGGTGCAGATCGGAGGGTATGTGGGGGGCGTGCAGCCAGACCGAAGCTCGATCGGAGGGTATGTGGCAATAGTGTAGACTTTTGATCATATTTCAACCCCCTATATGAAGCGGCGTTGATATCCAAATGGGGGGGGTTATTCATCAAAGATGCAATGTTACACATGAGGCATTTGAGGAATCCTTGCACCTTCTTCATCGCCTCATTCTGGCCGACAGGCCATTCAACGACCCATGGAGAGGCAAACTGCCGTTGATGTTCAGATGAATTTCCTTTTTTACTTATAGGGATGAGTATTGGTGAATTCAACCAAAAGTATGACTTGGTTAAACCTATAGCAACTGGCTCATTTTCCTGGCGAGGCAGTACTTTTGGTAATTTCACTGAATTTTGGAATTGACGCTGATTCTGATGAATGGATGAGGTCAGGAAAACATGCCCTGGGAGATGTCAAGATGTTCCAACCGCCACGTGTTTGACTCCTTCTTGCAAAGTCACACGGAAGTGCAACAACGAGTTCCTCACAGTTGGTGCCGATGTTAATTTGTTTGCCGCCTGACCCCGAACCGCCCCAGGGCCAATCTGAGCCCGAAATCGGTGAACCACCGGGATCAGAACAGCTCGTGTGTCACGCACGTGGTCCTTTGTATGGCCTGACATGTCAGAGACAGTGATCACATGGATCGGACGGACGACCCGACGACCCGGACGACCCGGACGGGACGTGCCAAGAAAACCCGGGGTTGCCCCCACCGAGGTAAGTGCTACTTCGGAGAGTTGCACAACGGCTCCTGCAGCGACCTGGCTGCAGGGGGCCCGGTTAAACGGTCGAAGCGAGGTGCTTGGAGTCGAGCCTTGGGAGGGCGGTGGGCGGGTTCGGTGAGGATGGAGAATCGACTCCGGACCTGGCAGCGACCTCTGTGTCGAGCACACCACCGTAACGATAGGAGTGGATACGTGGATCCCTATAGGGCTGGGTGCATTCTTTTTGGGGGCTGGCCACATGCCAGGAGGTGGCCGCCAAAAGCCATGCGTGCAGCATGCACGCGTACGCAGCGTACGACTCACGGGGGTCAAGGAGACGAGCGAGTCTTAGAGCTTCCACTGCAGAGCTGAGCCCTCCTCAGCACTAAACCCTTGTTTTAATTCATGGACGTGAATGGCATTGGTTGTTGGATGACCATTTTCTGAACACCAAACAAAATAATGATTTACCATATCCATTTTTTGTTTCACGACGTCAGTGAGTGTCAATCTGATTTGTTGGTATACAGTGCGTAATTGTATAGATGCATATGTTCATTGGCCAACCCTTTTCGTGCCACTTTATGCGTGGACGGCACAGGATCTACACAAAATCAACAGGGGGGTTCTTGTTGTTGTGGCCATGTTTTCAGTCTCCTGGTCATTCGATCTCATCGCCCGGGGATTCAGGTTGCAATTCGCAACATGGTCTACAGGGCGACAGTTGTGTGCCATGCAGCAAGCTGAACTTGCAATGCAGCCAGCCTGGAAGTATCCTTTCTACAGCGGTGCCTGAGCGACTTGGACTAAGAACATGCGACCCGGACGAGCATGAGGGTGCATGAAATCAAACAGTCTCACCGTCTCACTATCCAAACAAATCATGTACTCCTTGTACTTGATATTGCTTCAGGATGCTACCTCAGTCCTGGAAAGTGGATAGTATAAACATGATTAGTGAACTCCTGAAGATGGGCACCTGTCCTAGACCAAGTGCCAGAGGCATCCAAACCTGTGGAACACCGGTTGCGACCCTGGCCGAAGTCACTTCATCTCTGAAAAGGTGGAATCTGCGACCCTGGACTCCCTGGAACACACATGTATCATCCAACAAACGTCTCATGTGTTTGGCCAGAGACGCGTCAGACGACGCTTGAGGAGTCCACTCGCGGCATGTGTTTGGCGGCCAAACCGAGTGACGTTGCCGGAACCGCGCGGCGAAGTTCGGTCGTTCAATGCCGTGACCGGTGAAACCGGTCCTGGAGCCCGGACTAGAGTCGTTAAGATAATATAAATTATTTAGATAATAATAGGTTTTAGATATATAATAACAATAAGTTATTGGAGTTTAGAGTTAGATATATTTAGATAAACAGTTAGGTATTATACATGGTTTACATTCTAACTCTTCCATGGGATGGTCTTTTTACCCATTTTGGTGACCGTTCCATGGGATGTTTTGGGATTTGAACACGCATGTTTCGTACTCTTTGGCACTGGACACGTCCAGGCGCGGCTTCCTACGCTTGGCGCCCGGCGCCGAGGAGGCACGCCGGTGCCCCGCGCCGGCCGAGGCGGGGACATAGAGAAGAGCGGCGGATGGGGGGGATGGATCTTGGAGAAGTGCCAGAATTGCCCAGGTTTTCAGTGGGTTTCAGAGGTTCGGTGGCACAAGTTACCCCCAAGTTAGGTGGTTTGGGTTTGGACCCCCAGTCTGTCTAAGACATGTAGGGGTGGGTGCCAGTGCCATCGAACCTCTGAATTGCACATGTGATGTGTTCTTCTTTGGGGGAGGGGAGGCAGAGGGAATGAGAAGTTGAGGCAGACTTGTCCAGGCTGACTTGCCAGGTGTATCATCGAAGGTCAGCGGCTGATGCTGGAAGTTCGCCCCGGCAGCGGCTGCGCTACGGCACTGCAAAGCCAAGATCGGTGGTAGACAATGCCCAGCACCACGGATTCCGGGTCCATTCACCACCCCGCTGGAGACGTCAGGGTCGGTCGGACGAGTAGGTGGGACCTGGAGCAGCTCAAAAGGTTGAAGATGGTTGAAGGATCCATGTGGATAATGGGACGATTGAGGGGTATGTGACCATAGGATACGACTTGATCAAGAGTTGATACGACTCATCACTTATGCTTTTCTGTCAGATGTCTACAGTGGTTTCAGAGTAGATGGCACAAACTCCTACATGGGGGTCCATATAAACAACCTTTTGGGGATTGTGCCATCTACTCTGGAACCACTGCAACAGGTTTCTTCCAGGACTCCTCCACTCCTCATCATGTCCGGCCTTCCTTGCCCGACTCGAAGACCATCAGGTGCGCTGCTCGGGTGGACACCGCTGCAGCGAGGGCTACAACGGCACGTTGTGCACGAGCTGCGCCCTGGATGGAGGAGCGCTAGGAGGGCTACGTGTGATCACCCTATCCAACCCCACAAACTGGAGAGTGTGACCACCTTGCACCATGATGCCTTGGAGAGCGGTATTTTGGATGGGGCTGGGGTGCTGGTGGGTGCAGACCTCAGACCTCAGTTCAGACCATCGAAAGAGAGCGGTCAAGTGATATCACCGGAAGGCACTGCATGGGGAGACGTGGGGACACTGGTGCCACCCATCGGGTGGAAGAAGAGGACATGAAAACCGTGTGTTTTCTCGGTCCATCTCGTCCAGATCTCGTGAGATGCTTCTCACATGGTCTCACCGAATGACCTACCTGGACCTGAAAAAAAAGGGGTGTCCTGTCGGTCTAGTAGTGGGCCGGGGCTTCTATTGGAGATCCCTTTGAAGCTGCTGGTAGAGTCGATCCTGTCGGTCGGGTTGTCGACCCTCAAAACAGCGCCACACCTCACGTCCCAATCTTCGGACTGCTCCTCTCAGTCCGACGGCGTCCTGACTCGAGAAACCTCTCAGGTGCCGAGGGCTTTTGGGCCAGCGGACCACGCTGCCGGTGCCTCGGCCGAACGGACCGGGCCGTGGAGACGCCGCTTCCTGGCCCACCATTTGGTGTACATGCTTGGAACCGGTGTAAAGCAGGTGATGAATACATCGAATACATGTGTTTTTTTGGAGTGTTCAGATGTTTCACTGAGGATTTCACATAATTCCAACCAGGTCAACCCTTCTTTGAAACATGTTCTTGAAAGGCTAGGGTTGACAGTGGTTTCAGAGTAGATGGCACCAACCAAAGAGTCGTTCTTTTAATAGTCTTGGGGTCCATCTAAACCACCGGGCTTCGGGTAACTTGCGCCATCTCCTCCCCAAAACCTGTAACCCTTGGGGCGACTTCGGCTTCTCCACTCAGCAAGATCCTTGTGCAAGAGGCTCTTTCCAGGGCTCGGGGAGCGGAGCTCGGCTGGCGCAGGGGGTCGCACGGGCGTCCCGCTTTGGCAGCAGTCGGTTTGCAGATTCCATCGTTTTGGGTCGCCCCAAAAGTACCTGCTCCAGCCTCCAACAGCTCACCACCTACCATTTTGAAGTCTGCAAAAGGAAAAAGAGGAGGAGACCTGGTTGAAGGCTGCTGGCAGCTTTTCGAGATGATAGAAATTGCCTGAATTTGGGACTCAGGACCTGTGCTGATGCCAGTTCCATCTCTTTATGGATCCTCTCACTGCTCGCAGCCGTGGCGCTCCTTGTTGCCCTCCTCGTCTACTACCGCAGCCGCCTCTCGGGGTCCGAGCGGCGCAGGTCGGTCAGCGTCGCTCGGTGTGGAGACCACGGCGCGGGGCGAGCCGAAGCTCGGGGGAGATCAGCAGAACACTCCTCAGCTCAGGTGTGAGAGTTCGAGGGAAGTAGAAGTGTACACTAGTTCTGACCTTGAGGGAGTTGACGGCTGCCGGGGTATCCAGACACTCAGCTCCGACTGAAATGCCTATTGCCTATTGCCACAGAGTGTTGAGGTATTCCCCATACAAAAAGGCTGGAACTCGGAGCTACGTACAAGTTCCCCAACCGCTAGAATCAGAAGAGGAAGTCTTCCAGTCATTCTCCAGACGGCGGCTTTGGTGTTTCCAACGATCCGACATGACGGATGAAAGCATCTCGGGGCGCCCCCAGGGTGGACCATGAATTCCGAAGACCACCGGTGCCATCCATGTCACCATGATGGATTTCGGGGAGTGTGTCCATCTACTGAAAGAGTCCAGCCTGCGCGTCCGCGCATCGGTTGAGTGGGACGCCCGGGGGGGAAAAGGACATTTGGAGGACTTTCAAGGGAAAGCGTTGGAAGGTCTAGGTCTTTAGAGGTACACCCTGGAAGACTAAGATGGACCCTAAAAGCCCACTGGTTCGTAGAGCGAAACAATCTCTCAAGGGCCAGACAATCAGGGTCTATGTTTGTTTTCGTGGGTGCATTAATCTCATGACTTGTGACTTCCAGGCGCCGCAGTATAGACATGAACGCGCCGGGATCGCACCCCAAAATGCCTCAGTCGTAGACATCCAAGATTAACTATTCCTCCCTGAGAAAAAGGTGAGAACCTCCGCACACACCCCAAGAAGCCTTCTTAAGGCCAGCTTGGTGGGCCACTGGTGGGCGCAAATTGATGTGAGAGTCACACTGGACACACTCGAGGTATAGTAGAGAATCATGCTGTAAGTGCAAGTAAGTACCATTGGCCATCAGAGACACTCCACGGGACTGGCATATTTACCGATCAATTGGGGTTGAAAAGGGCTCCATGTAGTCATAATGTATTAACCATACATGGAGTGTTTGGCCATTGGGATTCCTTTTAGTTTGTGTGTTTCTCAGGATTTAGTCCACAACGACACATCACCCGAGTGTTCTCAGTTTGGACTTTCTTCTGGCTCGCAGATTGTTCAGGCTCGAGAACTCCTGCAGAAACTGATCCTTCTGCAACTCAGTGTGATCAATTAATTGGTTTGCTTGGGCATGTTGATGTGCTTTTGGTCATGGCCTGGCCTTCCTTTGCTTGTTGATGGACCATCCACCTCCCAAGAGAAGTGAGTGAGCATGTAGATACCATGGCATGTTTGTCTCTGATTTTTGCTGGCAAGAAGGCGAGAAGTACAGCTTCATCGAATGTTTCCACACCATGCCATAGCCACAGCCATGCCTTTCGAGGACCAGCAGCATGGTGTCCCTAAACCCGACAAACATTTGACGACCATTGATTGCCCGACGACTATCAAACTTTCTGGAGAATGATGATCTCCTGCATGTACCACCCAAAGGCTATGGCATAATATGGCATATACCAAGTCTTTATGTGCCCCAGTCCAGTGCGCTCTCCAAGGCAAGCCCCAGTCCTCCTCCAAACCGTGCAGCTTTGGAGTGTTTTGACGCGCTTGGCCACGACAGAAACGACGGAGCAGCGCGACGGAGAGCGCCTTCCTGAGATCCCCTATCTCGAGCCTTGAGGGAGAAAGAAAACAACGAAGAAGAACGGCAACCTCGTCACCTTTTTCCGATGAAAAAACATGGTCTGCCTAAAACCCATGGAAACCTCACCGAACCATCGCGAAGCGGAGCTTACTTTTCTCTCCCCTAAAGTTTCGATTTATATAAAGATCGACATATAAAGGCTTGGTTTCGATTGAGTTTAGTGAGAAGGACCCCAGCTAGACCAACACGACGTACTGAATCAAACATGCAACTTCTCAAATTCATCACTCTTCATTATACGTAAAATCCCTTTGGCTTTACATCTCCATATACAATCTACACGACTATTCCGACTTCTCAATTTGCCTCACCTCCGCTTGATTACTCCGCCTACTTTTTCAGCGGTTATCCAGTCCGCCCAAGAAAATCGGATAGGGATGAACTACGCCTTCTTGCATTGTTGCCAATAATTTAGAGGTAGCACTTTGCTTGCGTCCCATACATGAGCGACTGGTTGGATAATTCAGCATGCTATGCAAATCTTCATCTCTGTGGAACCACACCAGCATTAACACATTGACATGCACAGTACCCACAGAACGTGGAAGGGCTGCAGAATGTGTGGGCAAGTTGGTTTCAGGAGGTGCACACGCACACCTGTCTTACTTGTTGTTAATGGTGACTGAGTTTGGGCCCCAGGTAGAAAGTGAAACCTATGAAACTTGTTTGGATGTCAAGCCTGCTTTAAACAGGGGCAAGAAATTGCTTTTGATACGGTGAAGATCGGTGAAGTAACTTTACTTGCAGCTCACCTGCCCTTTTTGAGGATTGGCATCACTGCATCTCAGAGGCCGTATGCCCACCATGAAAATATACGGTTTTCACACGACTGGAAAACCAAGTCACTTGCTTGAAAAGGGGCCCTCGAAGTAGGCCAGCTGAATTCGGTGGGAGACTTGGGCTTCTCAACCGGACTGGACGACTTACCGTTTCCAGACAGGTTGAGCTCCAGCTTGGCTTCGATTTCAGGAAGCCTTGCAGCTGACAGCCTCGGAGATGCAAAATTCCTTAAACCTCCAGTGTCGCTGGGGCGATGCCGCCGCCGTGCGCGCCTGGGCGGCGATGAGCTCGCCCTTGGCCCCCTTGCTGTTGCGCCTTGGTGGTTGAGTGACGACCCCACACAGGACCAAAAGCCTGGAAAGCGGTGAACACAGCGATTTCAAGTTTTGTTTGATTTCTCGTGGTGAGATTAAGTAGACGGGACAATCCCCAAGTTTGTTGGCCACTATATTGGGCATGCTTGAAAGACAGCTTAGGGATCTTAGGGGTTGTGCCATCTACTC